CATGCGGCTGCTTGGCTGGGCTGCAAACCTTTAATTGATTCCTTTCAGCCACATTGGAATCCCAGCAGCCCTGCGGCTTTGGCAGCACATCCACAGGCCCCTCGCCCTGAAGAGACACGGGCTGGGGACCCAGAGGGTGGACTCTGCCACCCCAAAGCCCTTCCACGCTGTAAGCGGGGCAGGCTGGGCTCAGCCCTTGGAGTCTCGGTGCCATCCTTTGGCAGCCTTGGCTCCGTGTCCAGCTGCCGTGTCCCTTCTTCCCGCTGCTGTTGGCCCCTTTCCCTCGCTGCATCGCAGTGACTCATCCATGCTGAGCTCACCCGCTGGAGCTGCAGGAGGGCTGGTGGCCTGGCGCCCGCCGGCACCGACGGAGGGTCCCTCACCTGGCAGCCCTATGGACACCATGGGCAGGCACGGATTCCTCCTGCCTGGTCCCCATCCCAGGCACGGGGCAGCAGAAAGGGAAGGCAGCGCACGAAGGCCGTGCTGCAGGTCTGTGCCATGCTTATTTAATGTCTGGTGTGGGGATACAGACAGGGAAAAGAGTGTGGCTGGTGCTGGCTGGGGTTATGGGAAGGTGATGCTGGCCAGACACATAATCCCTCATTTCCTAGCTGGCTGCAGGGCCGGCCAGGCCCTGCACAGTCAATCAGCCACCATGATGAGAAGCAAGCTATAGAGCACCATAGAGGAGAGCCAGACTGCCTACCTGTGCCATGTGTGCCCGTTTCTTTGTGCTGGGTTCAATGGCTAACCTCCTCTCCTTCTCTCTGCCCAGGCTCCCCTTCCAGTGACAGCCACTGCTGGGCACCTCAGCGGAGAGATGAACCCCACCGTCGGCATCGCTGTCATCCTGACAGGTAGACACACATCCCCTCCCTTCTTTGCAATGAGCTCAGCCCAGAGCAGCCAGGCGAGAGCCAGGAGGCTATGTGGGCATCCCCAGTGCTTGTATCCCTTGTCCAACCCCTGCTTGCCTCTCCCAGTCCTCCAGGCTGCCCACTGCCAGATGATCAAGGACCTGAGTGCCTGCCTGCTGGGCCAGAGCCTCCGGGTGGACTGCCGCTATGAGAACAAAACCAGCAACCCCCTGACCTACGAGTTCAGCATCACCAAGGACAACAGGAAGCACGTCATCCACAGCACCATCAGCGTCTCGGAGAACATCTACCGCAACCGAGCCAACGTCACCATGCACAAGAACCTGGTGTGCCTCTACCTGCAGAGCTTCACCACCAGCGATGAGGGCGTCTACATGTGTGAGCTGAAGGCCACCAACGACTACACCGGGAACCAGATAAAGAACATCACCGTCATCAAAGGTGAGATGGGCAGCCTGGCTTCAATCCCTCTTTCCCACCTGCTCCTTGGTTTGGCAGGGCCAGCAGAGAGAACCAGAATCCCCATGGTGTCCCCAAATCCTCCTTGAGCTGTTTCCCAGCCCTTACAAGCCCTTCATACTGCAGGCAGAGCCATCAGCCCCACTTGCTCTGCCTTGACTGCTTAACCCTGTGTCTCCTGGGCCCCCCGTGTCTCAGGTGTCCTCCCATAGGTGATGCTTCAGAGTCCCAGCAGAGGGGACAAGTCTGCTGGGGAAGGACTGAAGAGGGATGTGGCTTTTCCACACTTAGGCTGTGCAGGAGCAGTCTTCCATCTGCAGAGCCCTTTATCTGCTCTGGTGCCCATCCCCTTGTCACCCCAGTCAGGCAAAAGCAGCGTTATGCTTCCCCGGGTCTCTGCATGGCCCCAAAAGCTTTGAAGGGCAGAAGGTGGGAGGGGAAGCAGGCAAGGGGCCAGAATGAGGCTTGGTGCTGTTCTGCGGCCAAGGTGAGAAGCTGAGTCCCAGCACCCCTTATAACACCTGATGCCTGCTCCTGAGGGATTTCACCGTGGCTCTTCTCTCCCTCCCCATCCCCTGCCCTCACAGACAAACTGGAGAAGTGCGCCGGCTTCAGCCTCTTGATCCAGAACACTTCGTGGCTCCTGCTCCTTCTCCTTTCCCTGCCTCTCCTGCAAGCCGTGGACTTCGTGTCCCTGTGAAAGGAAAAGCAGGCGCACACACACACACACACACACACATACACACACACGCACATGCACGCACACACCGAGCACCCCAGCAAACCCGCCTCCCCTGCCAGAACGCAGCCCTTGGAAGGAGAAGCTGAACCATTTGGAACCAGTGAAACCTCTCTCTGTGTTATCTCTATATAGCCGTGTATAACGCTCCCCACCGTCCGGTGCCAAGGCCCGCCGTCACACGCACACATGCCCCGCTCCGAAGCATGGTGGCTCTGCTAGGCAGCATTGCTTCTCCCATCGCTCCTCCCCGCTCTGTAGGCCGGCTGGTTGGGAGCACTGGAGCCTCAGCCCCACACAGCCCGCTTCTCCCCATCCCTTTGGCTTTTGGGGTTTACCTGTTCTCAACTGGGGAAACACAGCAGGATCGGCAGGTAAGAGAAGGAGGTGATGTGAGAGCGTGCAGAGGGGTCCCCGTGCTGGGTGCTGTGCCCCTGTTGGAGATGGGGCTGTGTGTCCCCAGCCTGGCTGGGCTGGGAGAAGAGAGGGGAGCAGGTTTAGGAGACACCATCAAATGACCCTGCCTCCTTAGGGCTCTTTTGGGGCCCTGGGGAGGGGGCTCACAGCAAACGTGCTTTGGCAACAAGTATGTCCTAATCTGTCTTTTACAGCCGAGCTGGAAGTGAGGCCTCCTCCAGGCATCATCTGGTACCTTTGGGCTGCCCAAGCCACAGACACCACTTGCTCTCACCCAAGACCAGCCCTTAGCTGTGACGAGAGAATTGCTGCCAGCACCAGTGGAGGCAAGCAGAGCCTCTCTGAGCTAGCCACAGCCCCGCATTGCCCCTACTCCTCTCCCTGTGGTCCCCAGAGCTAGATCCAGCCAGGCTGGTGGGGAGGGCACATCCCAATGCCTGGCCACAGCTAGGCTTATCAGTCTTCCTTCAGCCCCACCATGCTGCTGGGAGGACCCTGTGTACCCCTTCCCTTCTCCTTCTTCCCTCTCATCATTCCCTGTCTCCATTTAAGAACACAAGAGGATGTAAGGGCAGCCCAGCTGGCCATGGGGAGAGAGACCGAAGGGCTGGTCCTGCTGTACCCTCACCCAGGAGAGGGCACAGGAGCAGGCAGGAAGATGCAGGCAGGAGCATCCTGGTCCATGGGGTGACCCCCAGCCCCGCTGAGCTGCCCGTGCAGCCTGAGCTGTGCCACCACGGCTGAGAGCAACCCACAGCAGCTGCTCCCCACGCCTTGCGAGCTGCCTCCTACCTACCCCCCTGCCCGTTCCCTGCCCGTCCCTGCCTGCTTGCTTGCTGTCTAGTGCTGCTGAGGCCGTGTATAGCTGAGGCCTGGCTGCACCCAGCTCCCTGGGCTTGCTGGTGAGCGCTGGGGCAGGCGCAGAGCCCAGCCAGCAGAGCGCGGATGCATCTCGAGTCTCATTTTTGGGTGACCATTTGTAGTTGTTTTCCACAGCTTTGTCGTAAACCAAACTCTGTCAAGGGTGGGGGGGGGGGAAGAACCCTACGAAAAGCAACAACAACAGAAAAAAAACCACCTTACCCTGCAGGAGTGTTCCTCTGTCTGCACAATAAAACCCTAGGTTGTGTGTTGGAGCCGCGGCCACCCGTGTGTGCGGTGATGGGGAGAAGGGCCCGGATCCAGCCTGTGCTTTCAGCCCCCCGTTTGTGGGGAGGGGGGGACGACACACCCTTCCTGGGCAACCCAAATCCTGCCTCCAGCAGGAGGGATAGAAGCAGGCAGGGACAAGTCTTGCCTTCCTGGGGTGATCCCCTCCTATGAACCCGGAGCACAGACCCCTGCACCCAATCCCTTTGCCCCATCCCATCATCCCATCCCGGTCCCTATGTCCCATACTCCGCTCTGGAACCCCAACCTTCCTGCCCCATTGTGAGCTGAGGGCCAGGGCATTCCACCGTGCCGGCAAGGAGGCAAAGCAGGGTAGGTACAGCTGGGTACCCCGGGATACATCCCGGTCCAACCATCCCCTGGGGAGGGAATTGTCAGAGTCGGGAGTGTGTGTGGGAGCAGGGCTGGGTGTGGATGCATGCGCTAGAGCCCCTGGTGCTGCGTCTGTCATTGCCAGGGTCCTTCCTGCACACGCTGCCCATGGGGATGCCAAGGGCCCCCACGTCTCCTAGAGCAGCCACACACTGCTCCCTGCCCACGGTCGCGATGCCACCCTGGGACCGGGGGCTATCCTCCCCCTCACGTTTGGGAGTGGGGCCCGACACTACCCACTGACCCCACTGGTGACCCTATAGCAGCCTCCCAGAGTGACGCCCAGACGCATCCCTCCCTGTTTAAGGGCTGGAGGCAGGCAGGAGGGCCCCAAATGCCACCGTAATTACATCCCTGCTAATTACCCTCGGCAGGTGCTCATTGAGTCACGGCCGCTCCGGTGCCGGCACCGTGAGGCCACAGCGCCCTGGGTGGGTCAGGCGTCGGGGAGCGGTGCTGGGTGGGTGCCCCGGTGGCCCCACGGTGCTATGAGGAACGGGTGCTCCTGTGCATCACCGCCACATCACCCACCCCGTGCCTGCCTCTGATGCAGGCTTAGGGGACTCTTCTCCCTATGTTTTGTCTCCTCCCCTCACCTGGGTGCTCTACTCCAGTCCTCAGTGGGAGCCATGGGTTTTCTGCCTTCTTGACCCCCGCACCAAGCTCCCTGTCTTAATGCTCCATCCACCCTTTCCTGCCTGGACCTCCGTCTCCCTCCCCAGATCTCTCCCTTCCCCATACCTTCAGACACGCTTCTTCCTTCCCACAACAATTCCCCCTTACCTCTGTCGCCTTCCCCCCTCAGCATCCCCTTGCTGTGGGCCACCAGCGCTCTCAGGTTCACGTCCCCTTTAAGCCTCCCCGAAGCTGGAATGCGAGAGGAGCATTTCAGCGCCCTGTGAGGTCAGATAAAGGCTCTATATTTATCTACCCGGTAACCTGAGCTGTGAATTTCTGCCCTGGTGTTTTTATGCGGCCCCACAGCCCTCCGCCTCGGCCCCCTCTGTCCTCTCGGTGCTGGGTGGAGGAGCCAAGCCGTGGGGTGCCCGCTCCCCCGCTAAGGGCTCGGGGTGCTGCCGGCCCGCTCTGCATCGCTCACTCTCATCCCACCCCAAGGGAGATGCCCCGAGGAGGCAGCATCGGGCCCCCATCGTTCAGCCCCATAACCAGCCGCCTGCCTCCCGCCGCGCCGGCCTCGTGCCCCTAAGCAGCCAGCAGCCGCCCGCACCGCTGCCCCACACGCAGGTGAGTGGAGGGGGTGCCATGGGGGGCACCGGGGAGGGGAGGGGAGGCTGGCATCAAGGACTCAGCCCTTCGGCTGGGTGAAGCCGTGGGGGAGAGGTTTGTGGTCTCTGTGTCCCCATAGAGCCCAAGCACCAAACCTGGCAGCTCTCTGCCGAAACCATCACCCTGGCACCATCCCTGTGCCCCAGCAGGGGCAGAGCCTCCCTGGGGTCCATTCTTCCCCCTGCAGACCTCAGAGCAGTAACACACGCCCTGGGTCTTTAGGTCAAGGCTCCCTGTGAGGTTGGGGTTCTGCTGCCTGGGGGGGGGGTTGAGCTCCGCAGGCAGCTGGGTATGGGTCAGCAGCACGGAGCGGGCCCGGGGTGATGAGTGCTGCTCAGCGCTGTGCTGTGAGCCCCAGGGCTCTCAGGCTGGCCCGAGCTGCACGCATGACCTTGGGCACTGGTTTTCTATCACCCCCCGGTGACTTGGGCTCAATGCAGGGAGCAAACATCCCCCTCCAGGGCTGCTTGGGGCCACCCTTCCTAGAGGGAAACGCAGATTCCCAGAGGGATCTGGGAGCTCTGGTGTCACCTCCAGGCTGGGACATTGCGTCTCGAGGGACAGGGGGTACAGCTCCAAGCCTGCGTAAGCGAGGAGCAGCTGAGCCGTAACACCTTGGATGGAGCCAGCGCTGTGTAAGCTGAGCCTGCCCTGGGGCTCCGAGGGGAACAGCTACGGCAGGGCCATGGGCAGAGGAACGGCTGGAGAGGGAGCCTCTGCCTCCCGGCTTCAGGTTAAACTTCCTATGGGAAGGCTCCCATAGGAGCCCCGTGGGTCCCTGGCGCTGGCCACGTGAAGGCAGACCGGACATTCCAGTGCATCAGCTTCCCCTGACACCCCACGAGGATGATGAGGGTGCAGGAGCCCTGACTCAGCCATGCCAGCCCCAGGGCTTCGCCAGGCAGCAGGAAAGCTCAGCACTATTATGGGCAGGGAGGGGCCAGGCAGGCCAGGAAGTGATGGCAGGGAGGAACCTGTGTGTTCTCACACCCCCTGAGCTCCTCCGGGTCCTGCCATGCTTCGCTGCCCCACGGCGCCGGGCTCTGCTCCGATGTGACACGGCGGTCCTAGCAGATGCGGCGCTGCTCCGTGGTAAGAGCCCTCTTCCCTCAATGCCAATGGGTTAGCTGCTGTGCCTGGGGCAGGTTCCCCTTCCCGGGCCCCGCATCCCTCCATCAGCTCACACGTTGCCCTATGGAGACGTGTCCTGCTGCCTTGATGCCATCCCATTCACAAGCCGGTGGCTGTCCTAAGAGCAAAGAAGAGGTGCTGCTGGTGCCAGCGGTGGCATGGCACACTAGGACAATGGCATGGGGCTGTCCTGGCACTGATTGTCGGTTCTGGCTTGGGGCTAGGGAGCAGGGGCAGCCCAGAGAGAGCCCCTGTGTTTCATTATGGCACACAGGCAAGCGTGTGCTCCCTGGCAGCCGAGGGGCTCTGACTCCAGCATCAATAGGAGATTCCAGTCCCTTGCCTGGGGTCCCCACTGTCCATGTCAAATCCCGGCTGGCAGAACCACTCCTGGGTCCTCCCAGTGCTGGTGAGAGTGGCTGCAGCCTGGCCTGGAAGAGCTGGGTGCTTGGTGGACTCCTTGCCTGCGAGCCGATTATTCAGCCCTCAGCCTCCATTCCCAAACAGGTCTGTTGGCTCCACCTCGCTCTTGCTTGTAAATAGTTCCCTCTCCGCTGTGGGACGGTTGTTCCCTGGGCAATGACAACAGTAGCCGGGATGCAGCTGGGCTGCTCTCCAGGAGGTGGCTGAATGCTGCCTCTGACACCACCTCCTAAAAGCAAAGCAGCCCTGGGGCATGTCCACACCAGGGTGAGATGGGCAGGGGTGGGAGCTGGTCCCCACCACCCCAGGTGGCTCCCATACCCCTCTATGCTGCTGGCTCCTCTGGGCAGGGCGTCCCACAATGGGTGGCATGCCTGGGGCTCTAAGCAGGAGCTGGGTCCCCCCCCAGGGTCAGGCAGGGGGTGATGCTGCGGTGGCTCCTCTTGCTGGGGATCCAGTGCCCATCCCCAAGCCTGGATGCGCCCTGTGTGCTGCCAGGGCTGTGCGAGGGCTGGGCCAGGCACCGTCTCCATCACCTCCTGGCTTGGAGCCGGGCCAGAGCCCGCCCTTGCTGGGCTGGGAAAAGCCTTTGAATCAGGGTCATCTCCTGGGTGACTGGAGACTCTGGGAGCCACATGAGCCACTGTCCTGCCAGGGAAGGGACACCGGGCTCCGCGGGAGCTGAGCACCAGCAACACAGGGACAGAAGAGCTCCGCTTGGGTCCTGCAACCCTGGACAGGTAGGGGACCAGCCCCATGTGGGTGCCATGGGGCAGAAGCCACCAGCTCCATGTGGGGATCAAGTGCTGGGTGTCAGCCACCCCTATGGGCTGGCTCTGCCTGGCTGGGGGGGGGGGCACAGCAGCCTCCTCGCAGGAGGATCTGCATCAGCTTGAATTACTGCTGGGAGGCTACCAGGGCACAGCGGTGGCAGGGAGATGGGGCAGGCTGGGCACTGCAATGAGGGGGTCCCAGGCTGTACCCACAGTCCCCCAAGGCACCATGTGGGGAGCAGGGATGGACGGCAAGGACTCCTGTGCTGACTTCCTGATCTTGCCTCAGTTTCCCCATCAGCCAAATGGGGAGTGTTTTAGTGAGCTGGAGACGCCAGTCCCCTGCCAAGCCCTGGTACTCACTCTGAATAACCAGGGGAGGTGGTGGATGGGCTGAATCAGTCCATCCCATCTGCCTGTCTCAGCATCATGAATGTGACCAGGCAACTGCCTCCCATGTGGAGGAGGCACTGGGGACACATCCGCAGCCCCATGAATGGAATAGCCACAGGATGGATGGATGCCAGGGCTGGGGCAGAGGTGACCAATGCAGTCCTTTGGCTTTGGTGACTGTGGGTACCAGGATGCTGGGTGCTTCTGGCTGTGCCCTGGGGCTCAGTGTGGTACAAGGTACCCGAAGGCACATGGGTGGCAGTGCCAGCTAGGTCTTGGTGTACCAGGCTCTCCGGAAGTCACAGCCCCCCCTGCACCCTTCATCCCCTGCCATTCTGCTGTTGCCTGTCCCGGGATCTCCAGGCAGGAGCCAGTGAGCTTCTGGGTGAGTGCTGACCCCTGGACTCTTCTCTTGCAGTCGATGACTCCAGGAGAGCCTGCAGAACCCCAGCCTCCATCATGTCCCAGCTCTCCTCCACCCTGAAGCGGTACGTTGACTCATCCCGCTATGCTGAGACCACCTACAGCAAGGTGCCCAGCGGCTACAGCTCCTACACCTCCTACGGATCCACCTTGTCCACATCCTATGCAAACAGTGACAAAATCGGCTTCAAAAGCAGCTACCTGCCCTCCCCTCGCTACCACCATACGGGGCTGTCCCCAACCAGCGCCTATGACAGCAGCCGCCTGCCCCTGTATCCCGACTCCAGCATCCGCTTGAGCTCCACGTACATCCGCAGCCAGCCCCGGCCGCCCGGCGGTGGGCTGAACGGGGGTGCCTGTTACAGCTTCGCAGGGCCCCCCAGCAGCCCCCCCGCCTACCTGCCCCCCACAGCATCCCTCAGCCGTCGCAAATCCATCAGCCACGCAGACCTGGCGCGGGAGTTCTCCGGGCTGCACGCCTCGGACAGCGCCTACGCGAGCACCGGCGCGCAGGGACAGCAAGAACTCGGTGCCCTGCAAGGTCTCTACCGGGCTGCTGCACACTCCGACTACGTCCGCAGCTACGTGGAGAGCTACGGGAGGAAGAGCGGCCCCAGCCCCTCACAGGCCCTGCCACCCTCGGGTACCCGCGGCACCGCTCAGTCCTGCGAGAGGAGCGATGATGGGTGCTGCGACACGTCCGCACGGAACGCCGTGGTAAGGGGCTCCTGCTGGGATGTGCTGGGGTTTCTCATCCGGGCCTGCTTGCGCTGGGATAGGGAGCCTGGGACGCCTTGCGTGTCCTCAGTTGGGGATCTCGGGGCATCGCTCTGTGCCTCTGTTTCTGCTGCTGACCCTCTGAGCCGCCCTTGCTGGGCTAGAGCTGCTGGCACAGCCATGTGCGGGTGCCCTCTGAGGGGCTGTGCTCACAGGGCTCCCCATGGGCGCCTTGCAGCTAAGGGTGCCCATGTTAGATATAAGGGTGTTCTTCCCTGTGAGGGTGCTGAGGCGCTGGCACAGGGTGCCCAGAGAAGCTGTGGCTGCGCCATCTCAAGGCCAGGTCGGATGCTGACACACAGAGCTGACTGTGCCCGCATCCCTTGCGTCTGCTCCATCCCAGCCCACATGGGTTTCCTGCTGCTTCACCCCAGCTAGAGAGGGTGTCATGACCGGGCTGGGCACTCACCTTGCTGTGACACCCAGCTGGGGAGGCTGGTTTGGCTGGTGCTTTGGCACAATGACTTGGTACCCAGCTGCTGGTCACGTTTTCCACTGATACCCGGTGATGCCTGATCACTGGAATGGTCTATTGCTGCCATCCCGGGGCCCTGTGCCCCAGCTCCTAGCATAGGCCATGGCAGCCAGGGGAGCACCAGTTTCTCCATGGCAGCAGCCGCTCTGCTCAGCATCACACGTGGTGGCAGGCGCTCGGTGCCCCAGGTACCAGTCGGTGCTGCACCATCCCCAGGGCCTCAGCCCAGGCCAGGAGCCGGCATCACACGCACGGAGGGGAGCAGCCTGGTAATTTTCCACTTGGAAGGTTTCCTTCCAAGCTCCTGTCAGGCTCTGCGTGCGCTGTCTCCCGCTCGCTTTCCAGTCAGCCTTCATTCACCCATGGTGGAGGGACCAGGCTGCCCTGGCGCTGGGTCTGACCTGTGGCTCACATGCAGTCAGTCCCCTGCCCTGGTGTGGGACCCCCTGTGCCCAACCTGCCTGGTCCCTGGTCCCCGGTCCCCAGCCCCGGGGCGCAGGAGCAGGTTGGAGGGCTGGGTGAGTGGAGGAATGATGCTGTGGAAGGGAATTCCTGCCTCCCACAACGGGCCCTGCTGGGGGGGACCGAGGGGGGACCCAGAAGCTGCTGCCCCCATGGCATTCACTGAAGCCCTCGCCACCACTGCTTGGGCTGGGGTCCCCACCACTGTGATGTGGGTGCCCCCATGGGGCAGCTACTCCCAAAACACACCTTGTGGTTGTATGTGGACACAACCGGGGGCTTTCGAGCCATGGCTGATGGTGGTGCAGCTGGCACAGGGTGCTAGGGCAGGCGGGGAGGATGGATCAGTGACATTGGCTTAGGTTTCCTTGGTGCTTTGATGGGCTATTTTCCATTCCTGTGGGGTTTTTCCCTCCCTTTCCCAAGCCAGGAAGCAAATGTCCCCATCGTAAAACGACTGCGGTCGTGCCAGGCGCCGGAAACAAGCGCCATCGGTTCTGCCCCATTACCCAGCCCCATGGGCAGCGCCAGCAGCACCCGCCAGAGCCAGGGCACGGTGGGGCTGGCTCAGTGCCTCTTCCCATCCCTTCTTCCCCGTGCGCCTCCTGCCCCTGCACCACATGAACCATGATCCAGAGCAGGAGGCGAGGATGCCCGCATTTGTGCCTCAGTTTACCACCCCGCAGGGCAAAGGGAGGTGTGTGCAGCTGCGGCTCCATACCGGACCAGCTCCCAGGAAGGGCAGGCAGGTGGGGGGGGCAGGACCAGGGCTGTGCCGCCCCATTAACCACCCTGGGTGAACATAGGGTCAGAAGGCCAGAGCCACCCACAAAAGCACCGGCAGCTCTCCGCAGCCCCATCCTGAGCAGCTGACGGCTCTGGCCTGAGGCCAGTGCTGGTCCAGTGCCTTTGCGGTGCCAACCAGGCCCGTGGCAGAAGGTCACCGCTGCTGAGAGCAGGGAGCACCCTGCACAGAGCTTGGGGCAGGCTGTGCACTGGGGCAAATCCCATCCCCAAGCTACCCAGCGGGATGCAGGGCACGGCGATGGGATGCTGGCTGGTGCGGGCGGCACTGACACAAGCAGCGGACACACTGGGGAGCTGTGCCACGGTCCTGGGGCCCAGGATGGGACATGGAGGGGCTGTGAGAGCCACGCAGCCTTCGTGATGCTGGCGGGGTGCGCAGCCCCATGTGAACGTCGTGTCCCTGTGTGTGTACGGTGTACACACGGCGGGGTGTGTATATATATACACGCGCGCACACGCAAGCAGGGATTACGACAAGCATCCTGTTGTGATGCAAAAAGCCCTGGCCCTGCAGATGAATAACGCTGCAAGATGCCTCCTTGGATATTTTTGCTGATGCCAAAAATAGTCTCCCCCCCTCCATCAGCCCCTCCACTGGCTGTGCCGAGCTTGCGCCGCGGACAAGGGGAAGCTGCATCTGCAGCAATTGGGATTCAGACAGCAGCCACTGGCTCTGGCTGGGGTGTACTGGGAGGAAAGCAGGCGCTGCTCGGTGCCTCCAGCCTGGTCAGTGATGCTGAAGGTTCTGGATGTGCTCGGAGCAGCCAGGCTGCTCTCCCTGTCTCCACTGCCCATGGAAATTTCCCTGAGCAGGCAGGAAGGACACCTGGGCACACACAGCAGTCGCAAGCCTCTGTTGCTCACCCTGCTGTGGTCAGAGGGGAGACGCAGGACAGGGACACGGGATAGCTGGGCTTCCTGCCAGCCTCTTCATCTGCCCTTGCTGCAGGAGAAGACACTGAGCGCTGCCCGCTCCGTGCCTCAGTTTACCCAGTGCTCAGAGGGGAGGCACCAGAGGGGGTCTTTGCTTCACGCAGGATCTGGGGGGAGTTTTTCCCCATCAGATGAAGCAAGGCGCTGAAATACCCTCTGAGCTCAGGGTCAACGCATCCTCCATAGAGGGGGGGCATGCACCGTCCACTGTTGCTCAGTTCCTCTGAAACAGGAGCCCAGCACAGCACTGCAGGGAAGCCCCTCTCAGACATCCCCCCTCTGGGCACCCCGTGCACCCACAGTGTCCCAGTTTGACCGAGCTCTGGTGAGCATCTCCCGGCTGGGACAGACCCGCTGTACCCAGTGCCAGCCCCTCTCCCAGGCCAGCCCCGTGCTGGCGATGATGGGAAGCCGGTCCCATCAGTCAGCCCGCAGGATCTGTGAGCACGGGGAAGCAGGCGCTCCTCCGGCTGCCTCCTCGCCCTATTGCCCTTACGATGCTGGCTCGGCGCCGGTGTTGCGAGGCGGACGTGGGGAGCTGCGCTGCGGCGGATGGAGGGGGGGGCACAGGGATGCAGCGGGGCGCTGGCAGCGCGTCCCACGGGCCCCGCCGCCCCTCGCGGGCCCCCTTGGCTGCGGGCTGGGCTCGGCTGTACCACGCGGTGCGACGGGGGCCGGCCGTCAGCGAGCCGCCGCCGCCTCTCCACCCATTTGATGTCAGAGCCGCTCAGGTGCCGTCAGCCCCAGAGCCGGCACCGGCTCCGCTGCTGGAGCTCCGCTGGAGCCGGGCGCCTGACCCCGTAGGCAGGGCGATAGGTCGGCCGCAGGCAAGAGGTGCCCCCCCGGCATCCCTCGGCATCCCCCTGTAGCCGCCGCTGGTCCTCCCCCGTGCCGTGCCCGAGGGGGCCATCATGAGGGACTCGTACACGGTGACGCTGCCCGAGGAGCCCCCCGCGCTCCCCGACCTTCACAAGGACCTGCGGCCCCGCACCTCCATGCCAGGGTCGCTGCTGGTCTCTACCTTCGTCGGGCTCGTCCTCAACAAGACCAAGGTATGAGCTCTGCCTGCAAGCCCCCTGCCCTCCGGCTTGGGGGCACAGGAGGGGGTGTGGGGCTGGCGTGGCCCCTGCCCTCACTGGGGAGCACGGGGTACCCCACGGCATCCCCCTTGCTTGGAGGATGGGGTGCCTGGGGCTGGGTGCCCACCCTGGCCGGCCCTGGGGCCGGGGTACCCCGGTGTCCTGCAGGAGGGACAAGGAGCAGGTGAAGGCACGTGTCAGGACGCCTGGGTCACTCTCCCAGCCCTGCCCTTGTGGTGACCTTGGCCAGGTTCCCGTGCCCCAGCTTGCCCAGTGCAAGGAAGGGGCTGCTGGCCACGCTGGCCCCTTGGCTGTGTCCCTGTGCCGAGCCTGGCTGTCCCCAGGGCGGCAGTGCCCGGGGGGCAGATCTCCCCCATGCAGGGACAAGGGGCAGATCTGGGCACTTATGTAAGTCTGCCTGCTCCAGCTCTCCTGCTGCCCCAACGGGCCCCTGACATGTGGACCTGGATGGGGACAGCGCAACCCAGGTCTTGTCCCTTGTCCCCATCCCCTGCCCCTTGTCCCCCCCTCCTGCAGTGCAGCCTCAGGGACTCCCCAGCCGCCGCCGCGTGAGCCAGCTCTCCTTCGCTGCCTCCGAGCAGTGCCGTGTCCTAGATAAAGCCCTGGACGGGCGAGGGGGATTAGCTGGAGTTGAGTCACCCACAGGAGGGAAAACCAGGAGGGGGGGGGAGATAAGACCTGGCTGCACACAGGGCTTGTGCCATGGTATGAGGGCACCTGGGCTTCTGGTGCTTCAGCCTCTGGCCTGGCCAGGCAGTGAGTGAATGCCGTGTCTATGGGGAGGTTTGCACCCACACTGGTGGGGTCGCTCTGGTCCCTCTGGGCACATGGAGGGGGCTGCCAGACCAGGGCAGCCGGATGAGCAGAGTCCTCTCTGGGATGGCTGGGGCACATTGGGGCAGCTACTGGGAGATGCAGTTACCCCCCCCTACCCCGAGACTGTGACCTTGCCTCCAAGAGGCATGGGGTCAGCCCCTTCAAGGGACGTAGGCTGTTAGGGCACGGACCCACTTCTGCTGCCTGCAGAGCCAGGCCAGCTCCTCGCGCCATGGTGTGTCACACTGACCCACCGCAGCCTGCCCCATGGCCTGTGGGTCCCTACACAGGGATGAGTGATGGGTCCGGCCGTGCCATGTGCACCCACACAGGGCGGCCGAGCGGCCGCTGGTGCTGCGGTGGGTGATGCCTGCGCCGTCGCTAAGGAGCACGTGTAAGTGGATCTGGGTTATTTTGGGCTGCTGTCAGGGCTGGGTGCTCAGCACCTCCCACACACGCACCAGATGCTGCTATTTCAGAGCTGCTGGGCCCCCTCCCCTCCTCTCCTCCCGCTCCTCACGCTGGGGTGGGCAGCTGGGGGGGTGCCTGAGGATCCTTAAAACCTGGTCATCCGAGGGAGCGGGATGAGCAGCCTGGCCCTGCAAGCCTCATTGTCCCAGCACCCCGCTCTGGGCACAGCTCCGGGGAGGTTCATGCCACCACTGCCCTCTGTGCAGGGCCCCTGCTCCATCCCACCAGCCCCATAGCCCCTCCATGCCACACAGGCAACCCTGGGGCTCCCAAAGCCCCTCTGCGCTCTCCGTCTCTCCAGCAAAGAGTGGCCATGCCTCCTGGCCCCATCACCCCGCTGCCTGTGGCTGTCTCTGCTTGGCATGATCCTGCCTGGCTCAGGGAATACCGGTGGCCCCCATAAGCATAGGCATAGCCCAGCAAGGCCAGCGAGTGGTTGGGAGGACGCTGCTGGACATGCAGCCCCATGCCTGGGCTCAGTGCTGCAGGGCTGGGCTTGCACTTTCCCAGATGGACTTTATCCTGTGCCACAGTCTGGGTGTGCTTGTGCAGGGGGGGGGACACCCAGCGTGGGCAAGGCAGGCAGCAGTGGGGCACAGTGCACCTCCTGCAGCCGTGGGGCAGGCACAGGGCGCTTCCACCCCACAGCTTCCCAGGGCACAGGGCTGGCAAGGGGAGGAAGAAAGGGTGTTTGGTCTGGCCTGCAGCCCAGGGCATGGGGCAGCAGTGGCACCAGGCAGGGAGAACTTTGAACACTGCATGTTGTCCTGGGCCAGGGAGCCAAGCAGCAGCAGCAGCCGGGCAGGCAGGATGGGGCAGGCTTCCCTCTGGGTCCTTGGTTACGGTCCTGTGTGCATCCAGAGCACAGAGCAACTGCGGGGCTGCCTGTGATGCCCATGGCAACTTGAGGGTCTGCTGCATGGCACCGTGGCCTCACTGTGCTGCCCACAGCACGGCCAGCCTGTGCTGGACACTGTCTCAGCCCTGTTCCTTCTCTCTGCAGAGCTCCAAGGTGGTGCAGGGGCTGACTGGCCTGCGAAACCTCGGCAACACGGTGAGTGCCACCCCTGGCACCCGGCTGGGGGTCCCAGCTCACACCATGCCTTCTGCTGGCACATCTATGGGGCAGAGGGAAGCCCGGTCCCTTCGCCTCGCCCCCCAGCACCCGCACTCTCACCCCGGTGTCTCCCTGCGCCCCAATCCCAATGGAGCTAGCTGAGGAAGAGCTTCCCTGCTTCGTCCCTATCCTCTGCCCACCCGCCCCGCGTGTCCCCCTTCCACCGCCTGCCTCCCTCTGCCTCTCGTTGCCATGGTTTTCTCTTCTGCCTCCCCCAGTGCTTCATGAACTCCATCCTGCAGTGCCTGAGCAACACCAAGGAGCTGCGGGATTACTGCCTGCAGAACCAGTACCTGCGGGACCTCAACAACAACAGCCGCATGCGCACCGCGCTCATGTCAGGTAACCGGCGGGCACCGCACCCCACACCGTTGTCCCCCCAGCCTTGGCGCTGTGCTGTGGGTCCCATCACCGGGACCCGCGCTGAACACCTGCCTCTGTGCACACAGAGTTTGCAAAGCTGCTTCAGCTGCTCTGGACCTCGTCCCCCAATGAGAGCGTGAGCCCCTCCGAGTTCAAGATCCAGATCCAGAGATATGCCCCCCGCTTTGTCGGCTACAAGTAAGGGGGGGGTCAGTGCAGCGGTGGTCCAGAGGGGGTGCTGAGCTCCCGCCGCTGCTCACTGGCCACGCGCTGTGTCTTGCAGCCAGCAGGATGCACAGGAGTTCCTGCGGTTCCTCCTGGATGGGCTGCACAGCGAGGTGAACCGTGTGCTGGTGCGGCCGCGGGCAAGCACGGACACCCTGGACCACCTCCCGTAAGTGCCGGCTGGGATGGAGGCAGGCCTCAGCTCAGCCCGGGGAGGGTGATTACGTGGGTCCACGGGGGCTGCTGCCCCTCAGCCACACTTGGTACCACTGTGTCTGCCCATCTCCTGCAGTGACGATGAGAAGAGCCGCCAGATGTGGAGGAGGTACCAGGAGAGGGAGGACAGCCGCATCAGCGGTGAGCAGGGCTGTGGGGAGAGGAGGGCAGGGCTGGAAACGTGGGGTCTCACCTGCCTTTGTCCCATCCTTGTCCCACCAGATCTCTTCGTTGGGCAGCTGAAGAGTTCACTGACGTGCAGTGAGTGCGGATACTGCTCCACAGCCTTCGATCCCTTCTGGGACCTGTCCCTGCCCATCCCCAAGGTATGCTCTCTCAGTCCCTAACCCCCAGCACCCTGCCCTGCGCACCCTGTCCCTAATCCACACTGTGCTCCCGCAGAAAAGCTATGGGGAGGTGACCCTCATGGACTGCCTACGGCTCTTCACCAAAGAGGATGTGCTGGATGGGGACGAGAAACCGGTATGGAGTGGGGGGCATGGGGCTTGCCTTGATGCGGGCTGGGCCCCTTTCCCTCCGTGCCTGTGTTGCCAGCACTGTGGGCTCAGCCCCATGGGGCTGCCCCCTGCTCTCCCCCTCCTCATGCTGTTTGTCTCCCACAGACGTGTTGTCGCTGCAAAGCCAGGACAAGGTGCACAAAGAAATTCAGCATCCAGAAGTTCCCCAAGATCCTGGTGCTCCGTATCCTTCCGGCAGAGGGATGGGGCCAGGGGTGCTGGGGGGGGGGGGGCAGGCAGTTCCTCACAGGCTCCCCGTTATCCCTTGCTTCCTTGACCTGATGCCCAGACCTGAAGCGCTTCTCAGAGGCTAGAATACGAACCAGCAAGCTCACAACCTTCATCAACTTCCAGCTGAAGGACCTGGACCTCCGGGAGTTCGCCTCGCAGAGCTGCAGTGAGTGCAGTGCTGGGGGGCAGAGCCATGGGTACTGGTCCCTCCCGGCCCCAGCTCCGTGCTGGCGCACTGAGGGACAGCAGGGCAGTATCCTGCATGGCTGAGCCCCCCTTTGCTCCCCACAGACCATGCCGTTTACAACCTCTATGCCGTCTCCAACCACTCGGGCACCACCATGGGGGGACACTACACTGCCTACTGCAAGAGCCCCATCTCCAGCGAGTGGCACAGTTTCAATGACTCACGGTGAGGCTGAGCGTGGGGTGCAGGGTCAGGGCAAGCAGGGATCCCGTGCGCAGAGCATCATCCCGGTGCCTTGTCCCCATCGCTCACAATTGCATCTCCCCGTGTCCGCAGTGTTACCCCGATGTCATCCAGCCACGTCCGCAGCAGCGATGCCTACCTGCTCTTCTACGAACTGGCCAGCCCGTCCTCCCGCATGTAGCCAGCCCTGCCCGCCTGGGGATCCCCTGCGACACCCCTCACTACCGGCCCCACAAGTGCAGGAGGAGGTGAAGAGGAAGGACCCCGAGGTGGCTGCAGCGGGAGGCTGAAGAGGAGCAGACCCCGAGCAAGGAACACCCCAGCTCCAAGCCGAGGAGGGCAGCGGCAAGCAGGGCAGGGCCCCGGCAGCTCAGGCACCTCCTGGTCGCTGGCGTTTGTTTTTTACCTTGGGGTACGTTTTGGTTTCTTTCTTCTTCTCTTTTTGGTTGGTGTGTAATAAAAGTACTGAGCAAGGGACATCGCGGGCATGGGGCTGCCGGCCCCATTGACTCAGCCAGGAGCTCTGCTCCCCCCGGGGGAGCACCCGCAGCTGGGGACCCAGGAGAGCCTCCCGCATCCCTCCTGGCCTCCGTTTGGCTCTCCCGTTCTCCTTGGCCATCCCGGAGGATCTGTGAACTGCTCCCGGCCTCCTCCCAGCGCTTCCGAACCTCCTGGCAAAGGACCTGAGCCCTTCGGTCGCCTCCGTCCCATCTCAGGCAGCAGCTGCCCCACGCGCGCTCCTCGATGCGAGACTCACGGACAGGAAGGAGGAAACCCGTTTGTGGGATTTCTATGTGTTTATAGTGGACTTTGCTCAACCTGGAGCACCCCGCTGCTTCCTGGCTCTCCAGGGACTTGTGCCGGGGGATGCTTCAGGTAGGTTTTTACCTGCATCCTCATGCGACGGTGCCTTAAACCCTTTCGGGGGAGCGGGAGGCCATTGGGGTTGCACAGAAACATCCATCCTGTGGAGGAGAGGGAGGGAAGGGCAGTGGCTTTCCGGGACCATCTGCGACTGGGGCTTTCTTGTCCCTGCGATCAGGAGCCCCGCTGGGTGCCCGGGGATGCGTGTCCCCCCCCCAGCCCTGCTGCTCTGTCCTCCAGCTAGCAAATGCCAGTGGCCTTTTAAGCCTTTAATTTATTCTCCTCCCCATCCTGCCTTGCCTGGGGTGCAGCTGGAGGAGAGATGGGCCCGACGCAGCCCAATCCCAGCCCCAGCCTGCAAGGCAGCTACATCCAACCCAGCAAACCCATTCTCCTTTGCCCTCGCTGGCGCCGTGGGCACACAACGGAGCGCTCCGGTGCCATGAGCATCCCAGTGGGGCTCGGATGGAGGGGAGGGCAGGCAGGATGGAGGGGCTGCCCGCGGCGGGTACCGGACTGGGGCGGCGATGCTGCTTGGCAGGTGGCTTGTTTACTGTGTAAGCAAGATGGGCGGGAAGTGTCTCATACAAGGGAGACTCGTGCAGGAATAAAGTCGAGCTTGAACGGATTGCTGTGTGCCTGTGCTTGTCTCTGGGCGGGCACACGAAGGACTGTGGCTCCAGCAGCCGGAGGGAAACCACCGCCAGAGCCTGCCAGCGCTCAGCCCCAGGAGCATCCGTGCCCCAAGGCGTGCCTGGAGCAATGGATGCAGGCAGCAGCCCCTGTGCAGAGGCAGAGGGAGCCTTTCCTCCTGCGCCAGCCCTGTGGAGCTCCTCCGTGCCCATGCTCTTCCCCCAAAGCCCATGAACAATGGCCCCTTTCTCCCCTTCTTAGGAACGGGGACGGGCACCAGGGCATTAAGGGGCAGTGGGAATGCAGGTGGAAGGGCTCAAGCATTCAGTGCTGGGGAGGCACAAGGCAAGGAGGGATGTGTTCAATGTCCCCAGCGCGGCCCCTTCAGTGCTGCCCTGCCCTGATGGGGACCTGGAAACAGCAGGCAAACCAATGCTGCCTCCATGCACCCAAAAGCAAGGTCCCTGGCTGGATGGGCTCCCAGCAGAGTGGGTGCAAGCACACATTCCCCTTTAAGACGCTGGTTCTCTGTGCCAGAGCCTGACCTCGGCATCCTCAGCTGAGCTGGATTAACAGGGCAAGGGGCCTGCCGAGGGGGTTGGGGCTGTCCTTCCCACACTCACTGCACAGTGGGAATGGCCTTTGGGGTTCCAAGGGGTCTGGTGCCGGGGCAGCACATGTAGGCACAGCCGGCACTGCCACCACCTCTGCCTCGGTGCATGGTGGAGAGGGGGTCCCACAGCACCCCAGGGCCAATGGGGGCAGCTGGGGAGGAGCAGGCAGTGGGACAGGGGGCTGTGCTGTGGGGCAGGGTGTGCTGGGGAGGCTTTTAGCCCAACTGCTGCCATGAAGGACTTCACTGAGATCGTGCTTTGCCCAGAGGCTCTGGACCACAGCAAGGTAGGGCTTGGGGGCACTGGGGGGTCCCTGCTGCGTGCTCCTCATGGTGCCACCCGTGCTCACTCTCCTGCAGACCGAGTTCTGCAACCCCGTCTTCGAGGGCGAGGAGCCCCGGGCAGCGCCAAGCACAGCAGATGAGGATGGGAGCAGGCCCACATCGCAGCGGGACAGCCTCGGTACCAGCCTGGGGTTTGTGCACAGGCAGCATCTGGGGAGCAGGGTGATGGGCAAGCTCCCCCCACGGAGCATTTAGGGAGCCGTTATCACCGTGGGGCTGTGCCCAGCTGTGCTGCTCTGCCCTCTTCCCTTGCCTCCCACAGGCCAGCAGCTCTGGGGGCAGGCAGGCTGGCGGTTCCGTGCTGACTTCAAGTTCACCTGGCTCTGCGTGGCTCTGATGAGCGCGGTCCTCATCTTCCTCCTCGCCCTCCTGCTGGGCATCGTTATCCACCGTGAGTGCATGAGCACACAGCCAGCTCGGAAGGGGGGAGAGGAGCACAGAGAGGGCATCCACTCTGTACAGCACCTCCGTGGGGAGAGTGCCACCACGCATAGGGGCAAGCGGGATCTCCACCTCCCTGGGATGGGGAAGGTCACTGTGGGACCTGCACACACGTAGGACCACAGGACACGGGGCTGGGTGGGCTTCCTAAGCCCCTTCCCTGCACTGCAGCCCCTTCTCCCTGCTGGGGCTGAGCTGCGCCTGCTCTTCCCTGGGCACAGAGCTGACATCCCCGCAGCCACCCGGCGCCCCAGCCGCAGCCCTGCCTGCCCATGGAGCCGCAGCACCCACCCGAAGGACCCCCCCGGCCCCCAGAACTGCTGCCACCCCAACCCAGAGCTGGCTGCCCACCGCCGGCACCGCGGCACCGGGTGAGTCCCGTGTGGGGCAGCGCGCTGGGACAGCGGTGCCCTGCAGCACCATCTCATACCCACGCTACTGCCCCATGCAGCCTGCGGTGGGACCCTGCGGAGCCCCGAGGGCTCCTTCAGCTCCCCCAACTACCCCAGCCCGTACCCCCCCGATTCACTCTGCATCTGGCGCATCGAGGTGAGCCCCGGCCTCGCCATCCAGCTGAAGATGGAGACGTTCAGCGTGGAGGGCACTGCCTCCTGCCTCTTTGACCGTGTGGAGCTCTATGAAGAGCAGGGGGCTGGCAGCACGGACCCTGCAACACTTAGGGGGGGTCCGACCAGGTAGGGCCCCTCGCACCAGGGGAGCGTGGCAATGCAGTGGGGACGGGGTGAGCGGTGTCACCGCTTGCTGTGCCCCCAGGTTCTGTGGCAATGTGGTACCCCCGACCTTCAACACCAACTCCAACCACCTGCGTGTCACCTTCGTCTCCGACAGCAGCGTGGGTGCCCCAGGCTTCAGTGCCCACTACCGTGCTGTGGCCCCCAGTGACAGTGAGTACCCCCTCCCTGGGCATCACTCGGACTCCTCACTGCGGGCACTGGGGAGCACTGGGGGTACCGGGGCATGGGAGGTTGCCCAGTGGGATGCCACCACCAGCCTGGCTGTCTCTGCCAGGGAGCTGTGCCTGGGATGAGCACTGGTGTGACCAGGGGCTGTGTCTCCACTTGGGCTTTGTCTGCGATGGCTTCCACGACTGCACGGACAAGAGCGATGAGGCCAACTGCAGCCTCAAACACAAAGGTCAGCGTTTACCCCTGCCCATAGCCGCTGCAGCACCCGGCCGGAGGGCACGGTGATGGGCGGCAGGAGGCAGGGGAGTAACGAGACAGAGCAAAGGGCAGGGGTAAAGCTGCATGTGTGTGTGTGTGTGTGTGTGTGTGTCCCTTCAGAGTGCGGGGGGCCACTAACCGCCTTGGAGGGGCACTTCTCCAGCCCAAACCATCCCCAGCCATACCCGCACCAGCAGGTGAGAGAAGGGATGCCGGCGGGATGGAGGCGGGAGCAGGGTGAGGATGAGCACAGGGAGGAAGGCAACCTGCCATTGGGAAGAGCCTGGTTTCATGGGCGTCACGGCTCCCCCCAGCTGTGCCTCTGGCAGATCTCGGTGCCCGTGGGGCACGTCATCGACCTGCGCTTCCACAACTTCAGCTTGGAGATGCATGAGGACTGCAGCTTCGACTTCGTGGAGGTGCACGACAGCGCCGGCACGGGGGCTGCCAGCCTCATGGGCAGGTACAGGCCATGGTGTCCCTGGCCCTGCTGCACCAGCCTCAGCGCTTCCATGCACAGGGCAGGCTGGGGAGGAGAAGGCACCGGAGGACAGGGCTGGGGACGTGCTGCCCACCCTGACCCCATCTCTCACCCCCCCACCTCGGCAGGTTCTGTGGGCACCATCTACCACCCGTGCTGACCTCGTCCCGCCACGTCATGACCGTCCTCTTCGTGGCAGATGAGGGGGTTGCAGATGATGGGTTCTTTGCCACCTACCAAGCCCGCAATGCCACAGAGAGTAAGTAGCCAAGCAAGGGCACAGGCTGCCCAGAGGGGCTATGCAGTCCTTGGGGGCCTTCAAATCCAGACTAGATAAGACCCTGGGAAAACCTGCTCTCATCTCCTTGGAGCAGGAATTTGGCCTACAGGATGACCCTATTGATCCCAGCCTTTGGAATGTGGATTGCTCACCTGCACACATCACGATCCATCACCTGAGGGCTGGCCCCTAGATAACGCGGGGAATTTGGGATGCCCCTAAGCTGAGCCAGCAATGGTCACCTGCTGGCCAGTGACCAAGAAGAGTGAAGGCAGGGGTGGTCAGCATGGGAACAGGCTGAGCCCCAGCCATGCCCATGCCCATGCTGCTCTTACAGAGACCTGCAGCCCCGCAGAGTTCTCCTGTGGGAACGGCGAGTGCCGGCTGCTGGAGTCCGTATGCGATGGGTGGCACGACTGCCCCGACGGCACCGATGAGCTGAACTGCACCGGGGTCTCCTACCCAGCCTTTGGTGAGTGCCACCCCTCGCCGTGGCCCAGCACCGTGGCACTCGGTGGGCATCACTGCTGCTATAAGCAGTGAAGTGCCCTGGGGCAGGGTCTGTCTGTGAGCCTGTGCAAGTGGAGATGTGCCTGGGGCTGGGCTACAACACCACCTCCTTTCCCAACATCTGGCTGGCCATCCCGGACCAGGAGGGAGCCGCCGAGGTGCTCCGGGACTATCAGGTGAGCTTCCCAAGGGCTGCCTGCAGGGCTGCCCGCACCACCCCGTGTGTGGTGTGCACCATCACTGCCGCTCTCCCGCAGACGCTGATGGAGCTCGCCTGCTACCAGCACCTCCGACTCCTCATCTGCAGCCTCTTCGTGCCCAAGTGCACCCCGGACGGGGGGGTCCTGCAGCCCTGTCGAGCCGTGTGCCTGGCTGCCGAGCTGCGGTGCCAGCAGTCCCTCGGCCTCCTCGGCATCCTCTGGCCCATCAACTGCAACATCCTGCCTGATTCCAATGACCCCATAGTGTGCTTCCAGCCCTGACCCGCCAAGAGAAGATGAGCCAGGGCTGAAGCAGCCGCTGCCCTGCCCCAAATATCCCTCCCATCCTCCTCCTCCTGCAAATACCCAACTAATGGCGTGTCCCCCATCAGCAGCACCCCATTGCCCGGCTCCTCGCCTGCCCTGGGGTCAGCGCCTTCGCTCAGAGCCAGCTCAGTTCAAGGATGCCATGGAGAACAAGTGCCCCTTCCCAGCTTTGTTACAGGGAAAGGCTTGTGCTGGAGGGGTTGTGCCCACAGGCTGGAGCTGTGCTGGTGGCACCATGCAAAGTCCCCTTGCTGAGCAGCAGGACGGTGGCAAGAGCTGGGTGCTGCTTCCCCATCCTCAGCCAGCCCCATGTTGGGGTTGTGTGTGGTTCCCAGCCCATTTCTCTCTTTCAGCATCTCCAGGCCTGTTTCCCACAGCCCTCAGGCAGCTGCTAGCCTTAAAGGGGAAGGGTTTTATGCTCCCCAAACGGAGCAGGTAGAAGAAGAGCCCAGGACTGCCCATATCTCGCAGCCCCAAAGCTAAGCAGAATAAACAGCATGAGCAGCTGATGAACCCAGTGGAGGAGGTGGCTCATTTGGTGTGGGTCTGCCTGCAGATCCTAGGGGAAAGAAGGGAAGCCAGGGCCGGGGTGGGGGGGTCTGAGCAGGAATGGAGGGGCACAGGGGATGCTGCCTGTCTGCTGGCTGAGCCCTCGATGGGCTGAGAGCCTTGCAGGGCCCTGGGGAGATGGATGGGTCTCAGGTTGGTGGCCCCATGGTGCAGGGAGGGGATCCCTGCCCCAGCAAGGGCTGTGTCCCTGCTGTCTGAGCTGGTTGTGCTGGCTCCAGGCCGCCCTGATGGCCACAAGCCTGGCAACACCCGGTGGCCACAACCCAGCTCCACGCTGGCCAAAACCAACAACTCCTTCACACCTCGGGAGGGAGGAGCCGTGCGGCTCCCTGCCAGCACCAGCCTGGCGCTGGGCACGCAGGCAGGAAGGTTCTGCCTGCTGCAGGGCACAGGGACACCACCACCACCCCCCTCCATAGGACTTCCCCACCGCTGGAGCCCGGTGGTGTCCCTTGGATGCACTCAGTGCTGGAACGAGTTAAAGGCAAGCTGGGAATGTCCTCGAAAGCTTCGCCTCGTGCTCCGCGGTCCCCTAGGGCTAATCCTGCTTCCTGGCATGGCCACAGCGCTGCTCTGCCTGCGCTTCCAATGCTGCTGCTGCCTGGCACATCCCGGCCTGCTCAGCCCCACGCTCTGCCCCCTTGCCCCCCGGCTGGCTGCAGCTCCCATAGGTGCTCCCAGTGCTGCCACTGCAGCCTGAGTGCATCCTGCCCTAAGACTGGGGGACTTGCATGCCCCAAGAGCTCAATCTTCCTTCTGCTGCTCCCTCCCTGCCTGCCTTTGCTGGGTTTCCCTCCCTTGGCCTTTCTCCTGTCCCACCCTCCTTCTGCTGCCTGTTTCCCTTCCCTCCATCCCGCTGCTCGGCCATGTCCAGCTGGGGTGGTTTGCAGCCCGTGCCTCTTCTCCCTTTGCCAGGCTCTTTGCCTCACTCTCCCTTCCCCCTGCTTCCAGCACTTCTGACACCATGGGATTATTTTTCTTTTCCCCTTCTTTTGTAGCTTTTGGCTCCCAAGGCCCTTGATTTCCTTTGGAGTTTGGGAGGAGAGACGTGAGGAGGAGGAGGAGGAGGAGGTGGGGGGGGAGAGGCTGCCTTTCCCCGGGCCTTCGTCAGAGCGAAGCGGTCAGGAAGAGCCGCAGCCCGTCTGCACCGGAGAGCAGCGAGGCACCGGGGCAGGAGCCGTGGGATCGCAGTGAGTGGGGATGAGCGGCTCTGTCCGCTCCGCGCCGGGGGCAGCCGGGGCTCGCCGGGGTCCTGGCTCCAGCGCCGGGGCGGAGGACAGGCTCCTTCCTCCTCCTTTTCCTCTTTGTTGCACCCGTCGCGTCCAGGAGGGGGAAGAGAGCAGCGATCCCCGGGGAAGGCCACGGGGAAGGGGCCATGGGGCTCCGCTCTCGCTGCGCTGGTGTGGGATGGGCTGGGGTGGTCCCGGCAGCGGGGTGGTCCGGCACGGCAGGGGATGCTGCAGCCCCAGCCGTGCCCCAGGGAGCCGGGCAGGCGTGGAGCGAGCCGCCGGCAGCAGGGATGCTGCCAAGGGCTGGGCCGGTGGAGAGCTGCCGTCCCGGATGCAACAACCGCAACCCCGTGCACGGCGGCTCACCCGCCGCAGCCCTGCCGGCACCCCCATGTACACCCATAGCCGGGCATGGGGCAGCTCCCACCCCGCAGAGCCCCAACCACACGCACGGAGCTGCTGCCTCCCGCACATGCCTCCCGGCACTTCCATGGTGGGATACACCAGTGCGTGAGGCGGGATGATGTGGTGGCACTGCTGATGGATGGGGATGCTGTGGCAGGTGCAGCCCCTGTGAAGAGCAGCCAGAAAGGCAAAGAGGAAAGAAGGGAGGAATAATCCCTCATCAGCCTCCTGTACCCACTACCTGCTGAGCACTGCAAGTCTGTTTCCCAGCCCTCTTCACTGAGGTCCCCAGAGCCGTTCCCCTTCTCTGCCCCTTCCAGCCCCTCCACAGCAGACGGGATGGAGCAGCTCTTCCTCCTCTTCTTCCTGGGGCTCATCACCAGCTCCTTGCAGATTGAAGACAACAAGATCCCTGGGCTGTGCTCAGGGCAGCCGGGCATCCCAGGGACCCCGGGCCTGCATGGGGGCCAGGGTCTGCCAGGCAGAGATGGACGAGACGGCCGGGACGGGATGATGGGGATGCCAGGGGAGAAGGGCGAGATGGGCCCTCCGGGTAAGAAAGGAGACTTACTGGCTGGCAATGGGGACCTGCTCTGCACTGCCTCTGGGGAGTGCCTTAATGAAGGGGGGGGGAGACTCGCTTTACCAAACTGAGAGCAAATCCTGCCACCACTGCCCCTCTGGTCCTGCCTGTGGTGCCTGCAACAGGCAGCAGGTCCCTGGCACTAACAAAGATGCTTTTCTCCCCCATCCCCAACTGCCATCCCTCTCTTCCACTTATCCCTTTCCACTTGCGATGCACCACCCGCATCCTATGGGAGGCTTGAAACCTTGGTGGGGTTGGGGAGTGCTGGTGGCTTAGGGGTAACCCTGTTCCCCTCCTGCCTGCCCCAGGAGTGCCCGGTCCCCGCGGGGACGTGGGCAGCCCCGGCAGGGATGGCATGCACGGTGAGAAGGGGGCACAGGGCGAGTGTGCAGTGGCCCCCCGCTCGGCCTTCAGCGCCAAGCGCTCCGAGTCCCGCAGCCCTCCCCTGGCTGACCAGCCCATCCGCTTCGACGTGGTGCTCATCAACGAGCAAGGCCACTACGACCCCGCCACGGGCAAATTCACCTGCGAGGTGCCTGGCCTGTACTACTTCGCCGTGCATGCCACGGTGTACCGAGCCAGCCTCCAGTTTGACATCATGAAGAACGGCCAGTCCATCGCCTCCTTCTTCCAGTACTATGGGAACTGGCCCAAGCCCACCTCACTCTCTGGGGGTGCCCTGGTCCGCCTGGAGCCTGAGGATGAGGTGTGGGTGCAGGTTGGGGTCGGGGACTACATCGGCTTCTATGCCAGCGTCAAGACGGACAGCACCTTCACCGGCTTCCTCGTCTACTCCTACTGGCAAAACTCCGCTGTCTTCGCCTAAGCCTGCCCTTGGCTGAGGCCAGGACCTGGGTACCTGCCCCTTCCCAGCCACTGGTGCCCTGGGGAGGGCAATGCCAGGGTCCGGCCATGGAGGAACCAGGACCCCTGCCCTGCTCTGCTGCAGCTGCGCAGCACAGGGCAGGGATACAGCCCCTCTGCCACCCCAGGTGTGGCGGGGAGCATCCCTTCAGCAGCGCTGTATAAGAGCTAAGTATAATCGCAGGCACCCGGCGCTGGGGCAGGACACCCGCGCCGGGGAGCCGCAGTAACCTGGCTGTTGTATGCAACTCGCCATTAGCCGCCTCGACATCACGGGCACGATGATGCCCTGGTGCTGCCAGCTTCTCCCCACACCACACACACACACACAGCCAGCCCGCTCCATAGGGCCGGCACGGCGCGGTCCATAGGGCTGGCAGCTACCCTGCCCATCACCTCCTCCACCTCCAATAAAGGGCTCCTTGTCCACGCGTGTGCCGGGTCCTGCCGACGGGATGCCGCGACGGGAGACCGGAGGGAGCGGTCCTGGGCTGCCGGCCGCAGCGGCAGAGCCAGCGGGAGCCACTAGATGGAGGTACCGGCATCCCTGAGCGGGGGACCGGCCGCCCCAGCGCCGCGGGAGGTGTCCGGGACGGGGCCCCCCTTCCTGCCTGCTCCCCTGCCCGCCCCGCACTCCAGTGTGAACGCGGTGACCCGCCGCTGAGAAAGGTCCCTATTTTTAGCAGGGGAATGGAGAGCTTCCTCATTCCTGCCCAAAATGGGTCCCTGCGGGCTCCAGCCACGGAGGGGGCTTTTGGATAGCGGCCTAAGTCCTTAATGGACCGTGCTGCTGGAGCAGGCTGGGGACGGCTTGCTCTGCCCGGCCGTCGGGTGGCAGCTGGGCTGGGCTCTTCTCCTGCCATGGCAGCAGGATCTACACAACGGGACAGCTCCGGGCCGGCTCCCCTCCTGCCCCACAAGTGCACGGAGCCCCCCGGGGCTATGGCCATGCCCATCCGCGATGAACAAACCCGGCTGGGAGCTGGGGCTCCTGTGTCCCTGTGTGAGAACCAGCACCACCTCCCAAAGGGGCTGCCCATAGCCCCACAGCTCCCCACCATGGGACTGGGGACCAAGCAGGGACCTGGGGCCAAGGGCATGTCACTGCAGTCTGTCAGGCTGTGTGCGACCGGGGGGGGGATGCACAGTCCAGCATCCCAAGGACCACCCTTAACCCATAGGGGCCTGTGGAGGCGCTGGGACCAAGGGTGAAGCTAACAGAGGGGCTCTGGAGCCATCCTGCAGGCTCCTCTTCCCAGCGCCAGGATTGGGTTGCACTGGAAGCGTCTGTTTGGGTTGAGGACGGCCTTTTCTGTAAGCAGAGCCACCCAGGGGCACGCCGCGTCGCAGAGCGGATCGATGGCATGGGATCTATTCTGGGAGGAGGAAAATGACTTGAGAGCAGGCCAGGGGAAGGGGTGTGGGGGCTGGGAGCATCCTCTGGTCCCTATCGCGATGTGGGGAACGCAGCTCACAGAGGCAGCCAGAGGCACAGCAGTTTCTGGGTTCTCCTTCCTTCGAGATGCTTTTGGTCTTCGGGACACTTTGGCTGGGATCACTGTGGGGCTGTTGGGAAGCCTCTGAGGAACACAGGGGTGCCTGCTGCTGCCCGAGGAGGAAGAGGGTAAGGGAAGGATAACAGGAAGGGGAGCTACAGGAGACCTTGACTTCTGGCATGTTCCTGGTATGGTTTAGCTGCTCCTAATGAGCTCTAGAAGCTGCACCTTAGTGCTTGAAGCCCCTGTCCCAGCTGAGCCCAGGTTAGGGAGGGGCCAGCATCCCTTAGCCAGTGCAGGGCAGAAGCCTATAAAAGAGGCAGGCTCAGCCCATAAAGCGCTGTAGATGGAGGCAGCAGAGTGGGCAGAAAGGTGGGTTCTTTTGGGGTTATTTTTCCCCTTTTTGGTTGCTTTGTGTTTGGGGTTTTTAAAGTTCCAGCACACCAAGGTCACAGCCGCTGGAGCAGCAATTCCTGCAACGCTGGAGGACACAGCCTGGCCATTCCCTAGCTGCTGAGGGTGCATCCTGCAAGAGGCGTGTGGTTTGTGCATCCTGGAGCCGTGCTGGCAAGTGGAGAAGGTCGGAGTGCTATATGGTGTCAAAGAGGGCATTAAGGAGGTCAGCTGCATCTCTCTGAGCCCAATCCTTTGACTACGGTAACAGAGCATCCTCCTGGCAGGTTTGAAAGTGGAAATGCCCTCGATGGTGAAGGTTGCCCTGGTGACCCCTGACAGTAGGATAGATGCTGCTCCACCCAAAAGCTTGTGGTTTCTGGCATAGGTTCGGTGCCCTCATCACTGAGGAGATGCAGGGACCACCCTCAGTCATCTTCAGGTGACATCAGCCAGCTGAGGTGGCAAGGAGAGCTTTAAATGCGGATTGCCACAGCGTTTGGGGAGCTGGTGAGGCTCCCTGTGCTGGGCTGATAATGAAGCAGCAAAGCTGGGGCCCGGGAGCAGCCCAAAGGCCCCCCATGGTTCGGCTGCTGAGCATCACCTGCTCCCTCCCTGTTGGCCTGGGATCATGAGCTGTGCATCTGCAGCGAGCGTCTGTCGAGCCCGCTCCCTGCTGTCAGGCAGGCGCTGGCTCTTGTCCCCAGGCCGCAATAGGGATGGGCTGGTGCAGCTGGGCTAACAAAGGGATCCCAGGGATCTTCCCAGAGCCTGCGGGGCCCTGCTTTCAGCAAGCTGTCAGCCCCCCCCCCCCCCGTGCTCCTGAACTGCAGTAACCCAGCAGCATCCTGCTCCTCGCTCCCTCGCTAAGGGGTCTTAGCGTTGTGATGGGCTAAGCTCTGGAGGAGGGAGGACCCTGGGGACTCCAGATCTCATGCCCTGGTCTGTGGGTGCTGTTGCTGCTGGGTACCCTCCCCAGGCAGTGCAGCTCTACACCGAAAGGCACAGTGCTGGAGAAGGCAGGCGTAGCATCAGTCTCAGGGACCCTCTGCACTGCCCATCAGCTGGGAGGTGGTTGCGTTTTCCTCCTGTAATTGCTTACTGCTTGGCCAGGGGCTGAGCCAAGTGCGTGCAGCACGGCTCCCAGGGGAAGGCACTGTCCTTCACATCCTGTCCTTGCTCGGCTGCACTGGCCTGAGGTGGCTGAGCACCCTCTGTGTCCCCCATTGGGGCTGCCTGGCGAGTGATGGGCTGGGATCACCCTGTTGAGGCAGGGGATGGCAGGCATAGCCCTGCTGGCTCCGTCCTCCTGCCCTGGGTTAGCTCTGCAGCCTCAGCCTCAGTTGTCACCCATCCACAGCCAGACCCCCATAGGGCTCAGTGGGCTCTTCCCTGCACCGGGCAGGGCTCTGTTCCTGCAGCCCTCCCTCTCCCTGCTATGGTTCCCATCCAGGTTCAGATTAGCTGGCTTGGCCCTGCCAAGGCAGGTGAGCTGAGGGCAGGGTGAGCCAGGGCTCCTGGCATCTCTGCCCATCAGGGTCCTGAAGCATTTTTCCAAGCAATTTACAAGGATGCTGGAGAAGCAGGGGGTGCTTAAAAGCACACAGCAACCTGCCAAGAGCTCAGACCGCAGCCAAGGAGTAACCCATCGTGCAGCAAATGTATCTGCTCACCGGTAGCACAGTGGCTGAGCCTGCCACAGCAAGGCCAGATGGAGCCCTGTGCTGCCTGCTGCTCCACGGCTCCTGATGCTTTGGGTGCTGCCTCCATCCCTGGGGCGGTCAGGCTTGCACCGCCCTCCATCACAAGCAGCAGGACATCAAGGACATGCAGAAGCAGGGATTTTATGCCCATGTCGTGCTCCTTTCCACCTGGGAATTAATAGCCCCTCAGCTTCGGGCTGCTCAGGGCTCCATCCAGCTCTACCTTTGGAGATGCAAGTACCCCATAGCTTGCTGGTGGTGTCACCCCTCCAGCTGTGACCCTTGGGGAGCGCTAGGCTTGCTGGGGAGCCCAGGGGTGAGACCCCATCCCTCCAGAGGAAACCCTTTCCAAGAATGAGGCACCAAACAGCTTTTGGTAAAGGAGATTTTAATCTGCTCAGTGTCCAGTCCATAGTGCAAAGAGTTAAACTTAAGGCAAAGCTCTTTTTCCTTTATAAACAGGCAGCAAACAAACAGGCCCTAAACCAAAAAGCATAGGTATTATAATAGAAAAAGGGTTTAAGGGGAGAAACTGCAGTCCTGGGGAGGCAGCCTTTCCTCCCTGTAATTCACATAGGAGACATTGCACCATGAGGTGGTCCCTGACCAAACACCACAGCCTGCAGCATGGCCACATTCCTGCTCCTGGGTGTCTCCACAGGCACACCCAAAGGATGACCTCTGCAAGGCCTGTGGAATGCAGGAATGCAGTGGGGTTGCACTCGCTGCTCTGGCAAAGGCTTGGCTACTCAACTGCAAAGCATGGCTGGCTGCAGCCACAGGGGAGGGGGTTGGAGTGAGCAAACATTAACGTGGGTGCTCTGTGTCTGGGGAGGCACAGGGACAAGAGGTTGAGCAACAAGGGCTTGGGCAGGGAGTTTTGTATCCCTGCAAAGTGAGGCAGAAGCAGCTGACAGCCCTGGGACCAGGCCCTGCTATTACTTACTCTGGAGCCCAGGGAGTGCCTCCAGACCCCATGGCAGTGGGGCAAACCAGCCCCTGCAGTGCCTCCCAGAGCAAAGCCACTCTCCCAACAAGACAGCATCTTGCTGCAGCTCAGAGGTATCTCCCAGCATGGCCTGGCCTCTCTGCTGCCTGCTTTGGCTGAAATCACTAATCAAGGAGAGGAGAGAAGGAAGACCATGCCAGCCACCCTCGGGCTCTTGGCTTGCGGTGCAGGAGTCAAGGCTCTTGCCAGTGTGGCTCCAGCCAAAACTGGCTGTGGCGTGTGGCTGACCTCAGGCAAGCTGCTGGAAAAGGAAAAGCTTTCAAGTGCAAGGCCCTCCTGCAGCCCAGTAATTGGAATGGTGCTGGTTGACCAGGCTGGGATGAGCCATCTCAGGCTTCCCAGCTGGGATCTGATGCCTTCAGGAGACACTTCAATCAAACTAGCTACATTTTGGACAGACAAGGAAGACAGAACAGCAGCGTAACAGTGGAACCCTGCCCTCATCAATGAGATCCCATGGTCCTGGTACTGCTCCATGCACACGCCTGCAGATCCACAGAATGGACATGCAGAACTTCTGCCTGGAGCGGGAATGTCTCAATGGGCTCCCAGGAGCTTTGGGGTGTCCCAGTCTCCTCCCAGAACACGACTCCCTCTAAGCAGCCCAGCCTGGGGGGCAGCAAGCAAGCAAGCAAGCACTGGTGTGCACTACCCAGTCCCAAGAGCCTGAAAAAGATGTGTTATCCA